ACACACACACACACACACACACTCACACACACACACACTACACACACACACACACACACACACACACACACACAGGAATAGTCATCTGATGGACGTACAAAATAATATCATTCTGGCACACCTGACAAGGACTGAATAGCTTGTATTGACACCGGTGTAAATTAATTGTTGTGCCTGTTGTCGAACAAGCAACTGCTAAAGGAAATGTTGTGACACATTTTAAGCCATCATGCACGAATCAAAAACACGAACTTGCCTCCTAAACATTTAAATTTTAATTACGTTAATTGGGGCATATAACACCTTTTTTAAAAACCCTATCCGCAAGTCGTGCTTTACTATCGTATCCATACGACGTTGGGAACTCTGTGCCACCACTTTCCAAAGAGGAAATGCACTCGTTAATCCGATCCGTGCGCTTTGCATAGAGCAGTCTTTCAAAATGATATTTTGAGAAATACTGAAAGTTTCAAAGAGATCTTCGCGCTAGAAGCATTCTAAAATGTGAAGAATACAACCCCGGGGGTACAAATGACCCCAGGGCGTACGGATAGGGTTAAAAAAAGGTAAGTGACTCAATTGCTGCCGTGAAATATTTTTTTCTATGTACGTACATGTAGTTTTATGGCCTCATAGACACAATTTAGATCATTTAGGAGGCGGGCTTCCGACCACGACTATCAGAACCAACTCGAGCTAAGGGGGATGCATAAATAATATTCCAGCTGAAAGGCCGAGATAAATGTATTCGACAAGAAAGTTTCCCCCTTCTCTAGAATCGAACTCTGGTTTCCTGCGCGCGACAGCGAAGAGCTTAACCACTAGTCTGGTGTGCAGTGACGTGTAGGGACGTGCCGTGCCGGTGGTAACCTGTACTCACTTCCGAAGACATACTTATTACATGGTTATATCCCTTGCTTTATACAAGCGTGAAAAATTGTGACAAGGCTGCTAAACACTGGTGAAGATATAAGAAGCTACTCATTAAATTTGAAATAATGATACTATTTATATGGCTATCGTCATTTAAAAAGTGCTGGGCAGAAATTTGGAGAGACCAAAAGGAAATGTTTTAGTTGAGGTTTTACGGCGCTCGCAACTGCATAAGGTCATATGAGCGCCAAGGAGGAAATATTTTGAACGTACATACATTGTATATAGCCAATATAAAAACAATATATTCAATATTGGTTGGAGTCCCCCTTCTCGCTGGGTGGCCCAGGATCCGGGCCCCATGCCCCCCCCCCCCCCCTCATTATTCCGGTCCGGGGTACCACGTAACACCAGCAGGGCTCTTGTGATCACAAACTACGTAACAATAATAAGTGGACCCAGGCATAGCCACTTTCAATCTTTTGATTCAAGGGCAATGTCTGGTCAGTTCAGTTTGTAGGACACTTATCTACGCTTCAAGCCAGTGAAGAGGCCTTTGTGAACACAGGTTGTCCTGAAATTTGGTCTTAATTCTACACTCAGGAACACACACAAACATAACCTGATAACATTGGTGGTCAAGAAGCTAGAAATTTTGCTTAGTCATGAAGCCGGAAATGCTGCTGAGTGGAACTTATAAAGGCAGATTCTTGCTCGTATTGTTCGAGTGGATCTTCCGTTTTAATAGGAAGGTTTCAAGTTAAAAACAGGCTAAGTGACATTAACCCTGCCACGCTTTCATCACCTATTTTTCAGTTTTTAATGATGGGCTTGGGTTGTTCTTAACTTGATTTGTCTTGATAAAAAATGCAGTTTGGGAATGACATAGTAGGTTGTTTCACTTGATTAATTTCAGAGAGATTTTCTACAGTTACCGTTTAAGTAATGGGCTTGTACCATAATTTTTTCTCAAAATAGACCTGTACTGTTTTTCATTTGACCCATTTTATATATTGTTTTACTAAATGATCTAGGGGTGCATAGCTAGCCAATGGCGTCGCTAGTCTAGTGGTTAGGCTACTGGTACCTTAAATTACGGGTTCGGAGGTTCGAACCTCAGTTGGTCCGACGTTGTGTCCTTGGGAAAGGCACTTAACGTGAATTGACTATTTGGCTTGGCCCTTTGGGATGTGGACGTTAAACTCAGAGGTCCCTCCTCTAATAGTGTTTACAGGGGCGTTAAACCTATAAAATTTCACACATTTTATAACTACCTACAGGGCTAATACTTAATTATCTGGCTCAAGTCTTACAAAGCACTGCCTCTCTCACTTTCAATTTATGGCTTGTATGTAATTCTTCTGTTTTTTAAGGAGACGAAATCATAGCGTCTGAATTTTCAAAGACTATTATTTCTGCTCTATCCAAACGATGTAACAAAGTTTGGGTAATGCCATAGACTTGTATTATAATACCCTAGATCAGCGAGACAGCGTTACTTAGGGTCTGTACTGATATTTTAAAATATATTGATGAAAAAAAGGTATGTCTTCTTACTCTTTTGGACCTTTTGGCTGCATTCGATACCATTGATCATGGTATTTTACTCGAGAGATTAAATACTACTTTTGGCATAAAGGGTACTGTCCTGCGATGGTTTGAGTCATATTTTAAGGATCGAACACAAGCAGTTGTGGTTGGAAACACGTGTTCTAATGTTTTGCTTAGATGTGGTGTTCCTCAGGGGTCTGTTCTTGGACCTGTCTTGTTTACAATGTATACACAACCTATTGCTGATATTTTAAGACAATATGGCATGAATTACCATCTTTATGCTGATGACACTCAAATTTATAAGTCTATTGATTTCGATCAAATACCACTTTTAGTCGACTCTACTGAACAATGTACTAGAGATTTAAAAATATGGATGACCAGCAATAAATTGAAACTAAATGATGACAAGACGGAAATAATGTTGAGTGGAAATACAAAAGCCATTAAAAATCTCCCAGAGCTACAAATTGATATTAATAACCATACCATTCGTTCAAAAAGAAGTGTTAAAAATCTAGGGGTTCAGTTGGATTATGATATGTCTATGTCCTCCCAAATAAGCCAGCTCAGCAAAAGTATTTACTTTCAGCTTAAGAAAATTGGCAGTGTAAGAAATTATTTAACTAAAGCAGCAGCCAAGACACTTGTAACAACACTCATTTTATCAAAGTTAGATTACTGTAATGTTATTTTGTCCGGTTTGACATCCGAAAAACTATCAAAGTTACAAGTACTTCAAAATCAAGCAGCAAAATTGATAATGAAACAAAAGAAATCAGCCCACGTAACACCAATTCTGAAAGAACTACACTGGCTGCCAATAAAAGAAAGGATTAAATACAAAACTGCCGTTCTCTGTTTTAAATGTATAAATGATAGTGCACCTGCCCCAACAATTTCCATTTTCAAAAATCAGCTGAAGCATTTTTTATTCACAAAAGCATACCTGTCATAATGATGTACTGTGATATATATGCATGTTTATGCCAGACTGTGAGACTGAAGAAATAGCGAGTGAGAATGAGAGAGAGAAAAAGAGAGAGATAGAGAGAGAAAAGAGAGAGAAAAGAGAGAGATAGCGAGAGAGGGAGAGAGAAAGAGAGAGATAGAGGGAGAGGGAGAGATAGAGAGGGAGAGAGAGAGACAGACAGACAGACAGAGAGAGAGAGAGAGAGAGAGAGAGAGAGAGAGAGAGAGAGAGAGAGAGAGAGAGAGAGAGAGAGAGAGAGTGGACATGCTTTTCTATCTGTATAGAATTAATGTTTTAATGAATGTTTCTAGTTACTCACGTTTCAACTGTATTTTGACTGTTCGTGAATTTATATTGCATTGTATATTTTTAGTGAACACATTTTCAACCTCACTGCGAGACTGTTTTTCTGGTATAAAATTTTACACATATGCATTTATATTATATGTATGATACTTTGTTTTACGTACACATTTGTGTCGATTAATTTTTAAGATGTGATGTCTTTTTCATTGTAATGCGCATTGAGCATCTTTTAGGAAATGGAAATGCGCAGTATAAATGCTATTTATTATTATTATTATTATTATTATTATTATTATTATTATTATTATTATTATTATTATTATTATCATACACTCTAACGCCATTCCGGTTCCAAGGGAGTGCACCATTTGATTCAATTTGTGGACAAAATCGTTACATGTTGTAATGAAGAGCAAGGGCGGAACGAGCTTCGACTTTATTGATAGGTGTATTTTGTCCTTGAATTGGGTACCCATTGTGTGAACATTTGGCAGCGAAGTTTTTATGAAGAACAAAGAACGCCGGTCATGACGATGTAGGTCTGGGATTATTATAATATTTCAAATCTTTGAAGTAAGCAAGCAAAATTGACTAATGGAATAAAGGAAGAATAATGGAGACGATAAATGTGGTAGGTAATACAAGTAGAAATAACGCCATGGCTCCCTCTGGTTACGGATTAGTAAATAATTATAATATTATTTTTAAAATATACCATCAAAGTAACCTGTTGTGCATCAAGTAAAAAGTTCAAGTTTGACAATACATGTCGATCTTCAGTAAAGACGGAATAAGAAATGAAAGAGGCCTGGGCGTTACAGGATGCAACGCTGTATGCTAAGGGGAATAAGACGTTAAGCTGGAATGAAATTACGGAACAAGGGTAGAACTACTGTAAAGACGTACGTAACCTGTATCTTGGAGAAGAGACATAGCTATAAATCTTTATATAAAAGTGGACTTGGGAGGTTTTGTGCACAAACTCCTCCTTTATTACCTAACCCACACTTTTGAAACTTTGCAGGCACCCACAGCAACCATGTGGCAAGGACCTAACTTTAAGAAATCCGCGCTAACTGCTTTCCCCGATTTTCCAAAATGCTTTGTTTCGTCCACCCAGAGTTCTTATCTGGGAAAAAAGTCCGTCTTCCAAGACGCCTTTGTAGCCGTGCGCACTATTCCAAACCTTGGAAATTCTGGAGTGCATAACCAGGAAAGCGGAATAGAGAATCAACCTATACATTTATTATATATTTATTGACAACTTGGAAACACGTGTGTCACTTTTCTCTCAAGATTTATTGCCCCATTCCTGTAGAGTGTAAATATTGTAGGCCAAAGACTTTCAGTTGATGTTAATGCAGCGATCATTCCTTTCATCGAAAGGGGGCCCAGCTAGTAATTTATAAGCGCTTAAACGTTGAATTTTAGTGGGTACGAACAAACCTTGTCAGTCTGCTCCTTCTTTCCTATCACACATCTATCATCGTTATCTCTCCTTTTTGTGTTTGTTACTCTCTTGTAATGCCTCTAATCTTTTTTACTTATATGATCAAATTGTGTTGCAAGTACCGTAAAACACTTATTAAAACTAAAACCCTTGCAACTTTTACACCGGTGTCTGTGGTGCAATGGTTTGGCACTTCGCAGTCGCACGCAGAAGACCTGATTTCGATTCCCGTGTTTTAAGAATGCTTATCGAGACGGTAGGTCTTTCTGCTAGAGCATTGTATCCTTCACATCCGGGTTAAGCCCTGACGTGCATGATCGAAACCCGCCCCCTAAATGATCTAAATTGTGTCGATGGGGACGTAAAACACCTACAATTACACACCTCTACCCCCTCCACAACTCCCCCCCCCAATACAAACAAACAGACAAACAAACAAACAATCAAACGCACCCTAAAACAAATACACTGTAGCTCCCAAAAATACAGCAAACAAACAAACAAACAAATCCCCCAAACAAAACCGCCTCCTCCCAAAAAACAACAGACAACCCCCCCCCAAAAAAAAAAAAACAACAACAACCACACAAACAAACCCAAAAAGCTCTTCTCACTTATTAGCAACCGGCGTCTGTGGTGCTGGGTTGCAGTGTCACAGTCAGCCTGGGATTGTCCTGATACATGGCAGGTCGAAGCATCGTGGGTCCTAAATGACCTAAACTATGCCAACCATGGTGTTCTTTACTAACAGTACGCTATGATGCCAACACAAACATATGATAATATTATTGTCTTTCTGCTGGGAGTGGTGCCTGTGGTGTAGCGGTTAGTCCCTTGGTTATCGCTTGCAGGAGACATGAGCTCGATTTCCCGAGTGAGGAAATATTTTTAAAAATCTTGTAGTTCGGTCTTTCTGCTGGGATGCTGTACCCTTCTCAGCCCGGGTTGGCCCTGACAGCTTCTTTAAATATCTAAATTGTGTCAATGGGGGTGTAATAAACACCTACATCTAAAATATGCCCGAAGAAGAAGAATTTAGTTGCATTTTTCTTTCTTACCCCCCCCCCTCCCCACCCACCTATACACACTCCCTTCCCCAACTCTCTTTCCCGGTGGGTGGTTGGAGGGCGCCCGTGGTAGGTTCTACTACTTCTTTTCTTTCTCCCTGTTGTTTCTGACATCGGTAGCCTAGTGGTTAGGCTATTGGACTCATAATCGTGAGATTGCAGGTCCGGGGGTTCAAGCCTCATCTCGGTCTGACGTTGTGTATTCTGGAAAAGCACTTTACTGTACTCGAGTTTTCCACTTGGCCTGTTCTTTAGGAGGTGGACGTTAAACTCGGAGGTCCCGCCTCTTAAATAACCTATCAGTGTTGATAGGGGTGTTGAACCTATACCATTTCACCGTTTCTGTTGTTTCTGTATGTCTGTCTGTCCTGATATTGCCCTGCTCTATATAACAGTTATTGTGTCAATATGTTACTCTTTACTCAAACTCAAACTCTCTTTCCCGTCCCACCCTTACAGATTGGAGGTAAAGTGAAGACTATTGTGGCCTCCAAACCCGGAGAAGGCATCATCAAAGCTGCTGAGGAGACTCACGCTGACCTCATTGTGCTGGGCAGCCGAGGTAAAGGCACCGTCCGCCGGACTCTGATGGGTTCCGTGAGCGACTACGTGGTGCATCACGCGCACGTGCCCGTCATCGTCTGCAAACACCCGCACAAACACGTGCACCCCGAGGATTTGGGGTCCTAGTTGGAGCACTGTGCTGGGTTCCTGATCAATGATCATAGAGATGATGGAATAGAATTCAGTTGAAGCTACCCTAGACGACCACCCATTACTTTACTCTACTTTCCATTCCTTTATCTTTACCTTTCCTTTCCTTTCTTTTCCCTTCCTTTCCTTTCTTTCCCTCTACTCTACTCTACTCTACTCTACTCTACTCCACTCCACTCCACTCCACTCCACTCCACTCCACTCCACTCCACTCCACTCCACTCTACTCTACTCTACTCTACTCTACTCTACTCTACTCTACTCTACTCTACTCTACTCTACTCTACTCTACTCTACTCTACTCTACTCTTCTGTAGTGTACTGTACTGTACTGTACTGTACTGTACTGTACTGTACTGTACTGTACTGTACTGTACTGTACTGTACTGTACTGTACTGTACTGCACTGCACTGCACTCCACTCCACTCCACACTACTTTATCCTTTCTCTTGTACACTTAGATGTCGAGAGGAGGTGAAATTTTCGGCCAAGGGCAAGGTGAATGGCTACTATACCACTGAGGAGGAGAAAAGTGATTATCTTAGACAGGTGGTCTTCTTGGATAGTGTCATTATAGAATAGAAGAGAAAGAACGCAAAGGAAAAGGGGAAAGGGGGGGGGGGGGGAATGATATAGAGAAAAAAATCCACAAAGTGAGGCTGTTTGTGAAGGTGATTGTCTCGGAGGGGTGGTCATTAGAGCAGGTTCGACTGTATTTGAAAGGGGAGACGGTGAGGAGAATGTCAGGACTAAGAGTCACATGATATGAAAACACAGAGTTCGTTGACTGTTATGCAACTACAGCAAATTAATGTACGTTTGTTAACTGACTGATGGCAATGATAGAATGCTTTTGTATGATTTTTAAAAGCCGTACTGTTAGCACTACGAGACGCGAGGAGGCTTAGTTGAATACTTTGGACTTTTGGGTCTTTGATGTGGACGTATTTACACGTTTGTTCTTCCAAACTAGTTCATTGCTATTTTTTCCAACTGGTCTATATTTGATATTATATTCTAAAGATGTATTGCTACTTTTAAGGGACCTTCTGTTGATGTACATCGACCCGTTTTTTGGGTGTTTTTTAAAACTCTCATCTTCATACACGCTTCTAGCTTGACTGAGGGGAATAAAAAGGGGTAGGGGTGGTAGTGGAGAAAAGTAACTATCCTGCATATTGTTTGTTGCCACCCCCTACCCCCCCCCCGCAAAAAAAAGAAAAACGAGGGTATTATCTAAGAGTGACAGGTTTCTTTAAAAACCTATGTTGGAAAGGTAGGCTGTGAATTTTCATTAGCCTTTCGGAGACTTGAGAGATTCGGACCAGTGTAGGGCCCTTCTTTAGGCTAGGTTCCCCTGCTAGTGCTAGATCTCAGAAGTATTCAGTCGACTGTGGGTTCCTCAAACTGCAGTTCAAATGATTTTTTAAAAACTTTTAAAGAGTTTTTCCTATTTCTTTGGGCCCCTTGTCTTCAGGCAATCAAATCCCATTTCGAAGGTACTCTGTATGTTTTATGCTGACGAAAGTATATTCAGTTTTGGTGATAAATTAATTTTGAATTTTGCTCGGGTGACGGCTGAAGCCTACTCTTATCGATTTTGGAGCCACAGAGAGATTTTTAACATGCTCAACTTTCACATGAGACCTCCGAGATTGTTTGCCCTTCTCCGAGAAGGCTTTAAGGTGTTCGATCCTACCTACTCTAAGATCAGGGGTGTGGCTGAAAGACAGCAGTGAGAAGTGAGAAGTATACAGTAGTAGCAGTTCTTGCTGCAAAATAAGTAAACTTTGTCAGTACTTTTGATTCTGAGCACTGTTTGCAACAATCTGTGTATTTATACGGCTCTGTATTCTGGCTAAAGATAAATGTGTGCATGTATGATGTATGCATAAATGTAATAGGCAGTTGATTTACGTTTGCTAGCTAAGACAGAGAATGTTGTTCTCCATTAGAGAAAACAAATATCAATAAATTCTAGTCTTTGCTCTGGTTTTCTATTTGCAAAAGGACTTATTCTGGTATAGCTGTTTTTATTGTTGTCACCTGAAATCAGAAACTACTGTTTGATTATGAAATCGATTTATTAATTTGATTTAAACTCGAAGCCTATGTAAGTTACGAAAATAAAGGGACTTTTTTCCCTTGATTTTTTTAAACCTCAAAAGCCTTGTGTTGTTAATCGTTTGAATTCGATTTGAAAATTTTAGGCTTTATTTTCATCGTCAAGTGCAAGATCTGAGACAGACATCGGCGATCATGGTTCTAGACTCATTCTTTTGCTCGGATGCTCTAAAAAGCTACATTATCCTGATTTTCCCCGTCACCCTTCTGTCTAAGCTCTCTAGGTAATTTTCTCTCGGTCCGCCCCTGCCTCGTTTGCCTTCAATTTTGACAATGAGAGCAAAACGTTCTAGGCTTTTATGCCTGTTTGAGTTTAAGTGAATGTCTCATTGTTGTACAAGTGTCTGGAAGATCGATTGACACAACAAGTTCGACGTTTTGGTTTAGAAATCAGGTGTGCACAGAGACGTAGCTTAGTTCGAACTGCACAGTCTGATCTTTGCTTATTATACTATTAAATGGGCGATGGGGCAAGAAAGGTTGTGGATGCAGTAAAGTGGGTGCGGTAGTCAAGAGGATACACTGTCATGGGTCAGGAAAAATGCTTACATTAAGATTATCAGCTCGGACAGCAACTTTATAATCATATACAGATCCGAAATCTGGGTGTTGTATTCGAGTAAAAAATCTTGGTCTTCAAGTTAAAAACCTGAAACGGATTTCGGCTTTCATTGTTTGCTACTCATTTCTTTCTGCTCAGGTCGTCTAAAACTAAAAATTTCAATATCCACATTTTTTTTCAATAGACTAGGGGAACTTTTGAAGACACCATAATGAATCCATGCTCTAATCTTACATATGATATCCCAGACCATTCACTGCCATGGCTACGTTACCACACTTTACGTTCTATAACACTGTTATTAAGAGAAGAAAATGGTGAAATGGTATGGGTTTAGCGCCTCTATCAGCACTATTAGGTTATTTAAAAGGCGGGACCTCCGAGTTTAACGTCCATCTCCGAAAAGACCGAGCCAAATGGGGAAATTCGTGTAAAGTGCCTTTCCCAAGGACACAACGTCCGACCGAGCAGATGCTTGAATCCCCGAACCCTCAACCTCACGATAACCAGTCCGGTAGCCTAACCACTACGCTACCCAGGTCGCCATTCTATAACAGCTTCGCTGAAAAGACGACCAAATGAAGGACAAACATCAATCTCGCTATGGTAGACTGTGCGCGCCTCCCCCCCCCCCCCAATTACTCTTTATTTGGTTTCAAATTGAGTCTAATAGTGCTTTCCATTTTTTGGTCAGGTCAGGCTTAGTGCCGCTACCATAATGACAGTAGATGGTACTACCTGCAGATGTTCCTACTGCCTTGTAGGTGCATACGGGAGTATGAAAGGCTAAGGGAGTAAACCCTAAACAAATCCGGAGGGAGGGTCCCCAAGGCAGTTGACAGGGAAGTACGATCTGAACTATCTTCTGGCAGCCCCTGCAACTTTACTGGTTCCAAATGTATCGACCTCGTCGCTCCTTTGATCTAAATCAGCTGAGTCGAGAGCGGGTTCGTGCAAACTGGGCAAGGCACGTTCTCCATTTAGTCGGGCCCAGGCATTTAGCTTAGTCAAGATTTCAAGATTTCTGGGAGGACGCTGCAAAAGAGTAAATACAGCGAATCGGACCCACAGCTCAATCCCAGCTACAACAGCATTTATATGATTATGGAGAGGACACTTCACCCTTGTTGTGACGAGCAAGGGAAAAACACGAGAGACGGCAGTTTACGGGTTATAAGACATCCTTATTTGGCGAAACAGGATGTCGCCACGGGTCACCTTTGACGATGGCTATTCAGTCGCACTGATCAGCTACCGCCCGTCTGAAACTCGGCAGCCCCCAGTCAGTAAGGTGCTGATACGCCACGTCTGTTTGCTTCTATGGGTGTATGGAGCTAGGACAAAAACTGAAAGGCAGACGTTAAATCCAGCACCAGGCAAAAAAAAAAAGAGTAAAGCTAACCCCATGGAAACTGGGGACTTGTAATGTTAGAACAATGACAATCGGATTGGACATTACCAACCTGGAGAAAACAGAGGACATCAGAAAGACAGCAATCATAGACAGGGAGCTCACATGACTCAATGTAGATATCACTGCCCTGCAAGAGACAAGACTTGCTAACTCTGGCACCATTAGGGAAAGAAACTACACATTCTTCTGGAAAGGTCTTGGGGAAGATGAGAGGAGAATCCAAGAGTGGACTTTGCAGTACACAACAGATTGCTGAACAGGATCAGCACCCCCCAATGTATATATATATATATATATATATATATATATATATATATATATATATATATATATATATATCCGAACGTATCACTGTCATGGAAGTGGAAACCAAAACTGAAAAGGCTCACTTCATCAGCGCCTACGCCCCAACCCTAACAACAGAAAATGAGAAAAAAGACCAGTTTTACGAGGAACTTCGGGATGCAATCAACAACGTCCCAAAAGCAGACCAACTGTTTCTCATGGGCGACTTCAATGCAAGAGTAATTACTGAAAACAGAGTATGGCGCACCTGCTTAGGACATTTTTGGCTGGGAAAAATCAACGAGAATGGTCAGAGACTCTTATAATTCTGCACAAATAACAACCTTTGGATCACTAACTCTACAGTGGCAAGGACAGACATAAAGTTTCTTGGTGCATTCCAAGATCTGGCCACTGGCACCAAATCAACTTCATCATCGTCAGAAAGAAAGATGCCATCATGGTAAAGCAAACAAGATCTTTCAACACAGACCACCTTTTAGTTATAGCTAAGGCAAAGATAGTCACAACGAAAACACCAAGAGCTGAAAAATAAAAGAAACTTAAGTTCAACATAAAAAATACCAAAGACCCAGCGTTAAAGGCAAAATTTCAAGAACATGTTAAAGAAGAGCTCCAACATCTAGATAGCTTATCCCCAAACAACATGTGGAATAGCATGAGATCAACAATTTATAATTCTGCGTCGATTACTTTTGGAATAGAAAGACCTTGCAAGGAGGACTGGGTTGA